TGTGTGATACTGTACACATCAGTATAGTATAGATGAGTTAGCACTTAGTGGCCATAATAAAGCAGGATTATTCTTGCATTTTCCTTGTTCATATTAGACAGATGGAACAGGATGTAGAAAAGAGACCAGAGCTTAGCTGTCATTCTCCAGCACCATGGTCTGAACCTCCCCCCCCCACCCGAATCAGCACTAGGAAGGGCTGTGTGGCAGCTGCCAGTGTATGGTGACAGCACACTCGTTGATCAGTGTGGGGGAAAGGAATACCAGAGTTCGTTGTTCAGTGAGGGCACAGGATTCAGATGAGGAGTGAACCTGATCCTGAGGACTGGGCAGGACAGGGAGGGGTAGTAAGCATGATGCCCACACAGAACAACTATTTTGTTGGTCTCTCTTACAGTGGCCCTATAAGAGATAGTTCAGGTTGCACAAGAAATGGATTTTATTCAAGTGGATATAGATTTCAAGTAATTTAGCATGAAAAAGAAATACATAAGAAAATCCTAAAGAGTCAAAGTATTTTCTTATCTGCAGGTACAATTTAAACAACTCTATAAGCACTGTTAAAATTGTTATGATTATTCAGAATACAAGCGTGAGTCAGGTATGGTGATCCACACCTATGCTTGTAGCTCTTGAGAGACAGGGACAGGAGTGTTGTTAAAAGTTCTAGGCCAACCAAACTATACAGTGAGACTGTCTCCTAAAACTGACCAAACATAAAAACAGCAACAGAAAAATCTATATACCATGGTATTGCTCATGGCAACCTCAGCTAAAATACATTGTGGAATTTAAAAGAAATATTAACTCTAGAAAGTTCTAGAACTCTGTATTCATGTCTGAACTCTGTTCTGCTCCTAGGCTCCCCAGTGGTTGGAAAGTGACTCCTGTCAGAAGTGTGAGCAACCCTTCTTCTGGAATATAAAGCAGATGTGGGACACGAAGACACTGGGGCTGAGACAGGTTGGTAGCTAGTGTTTCCTCATCCTCTAAGGGTTCTGTGTCCCCTCATCTTTATCACTGATTTGGGTTGTTAGAAAATCTTGCTTTGCTCTTACAAACGCAGTTGATTCCTCTATTGTTTTCTCTTGCTGCCGTGTACTGATAACAAGCGTAGCCTGTCCTGAGGCCACCCAGACCCCTTCCCTAACTGCTCATCTGCTTGTCTTGCATTAGAAAGCTAGGGATGCCTGCAGACGCTGCAGAATCTGTTGTGAAACTGTGGGAATTGCTGGCATTTGGCACTATTTCTTATTAGAGTCAGTGTTTCGTATTAGCCAAGAATAAAGTTAGAACAATGAGGAAATTCAATGATAGTCTTAAGCTGTCACTAGCAGGTAAGTAGTGGCCCTCCCAGGGCGCTCTCTGACCCTGTGACTATCAGTGCGTCCGTCCCCGTTGTGCCAGCATAAATACACCTGCAGCATTTTCATTAAGGCTTCCTCAGATCTCTCTTACACGTTTTTAAATTAAGAAACATGCCCCCAGGAGCCTGTTACCGAGTTACTGATAGCACGAGGTGCTCCCTCCCTCATGTAACGCCTAAGGCCTACAGTGGGATGCATTCCTGCACAGCCTCCAAGGTGGTCGCTCACTCAGGCCTGGCTTGAATTTGGGCAGCTAACCCAGAGTGCGGTGATTTCGTCCACCGGTGGTGGTGAGGGATTAGCCTAACATTTGTGTGTGTAACCAACTTTGCTTGCTTTCACCCAGAGAACTGCCCCGTAAGTCCCCACCCAGACTGGCATCCAAGACTGGGCCTCCTTTATTTCTTATTACCCTGAAACACTCTGAAATAGCCAAACCTGTGGGATGCTTGTGTAGTGGGGATAAGACATTATAGTTGGTATTCCTTCTGAAGAAAACGCGGAAGAGTGAATTTTACTCTTATGCATTAATAATTAATAGGAGAGAGAGAAATTGTCACCAGAGGATTAATGGTCAAAGTATGCTAGTCAGTAATAATAATTGGAATGTTTTTGAGTATTCTGGAGGCCTATTTCCTGGATCAGACTTTGAAAGGTCAAAAGAACGTTATTCCCGTGTACAGATTATTCTAGACTCTTTTCTTTCCAGAATCTCCAGCAATTGGGTTCCTAAAAGAAGCCGAGTTTGGTTTGAATGTTGTTGCTTATTGTAGACAAGACACAATGGAACAACAGACACAGCTGTTGTCCAGCAAGCAAAGTAGTTTATGTTTTTGAGACCCTTGCCTGTGGAGTGTCTCGAGTGTCAGTTGATGGTGCAGTGAGCATTAGGGGTATATGAAGCACATTCTCCCTGGCCCCGTTTTCCCGCTTTTCCATGAAGAAAAACTAACCCCGCCTCCCTCCTGCTGGAAGCATCACTGCAGGAAGTGCGGGAAAGCCGTCTGTGGGAGGTGCAGCAGCAAGCGCTCCAGCTACCCGGTCATGGGCTTCGAGTTCCAGGTCCGCGTCTGTGATTCCTGTTACGACTCCATCAAAGACGAAGAGTGAGTGCCCGTGGCATTTGCCTAACTGTGTCCCAACCCTCTGAGTGAGGGCAGCCTGAGGAAGGATCTAGGTTTCTACACATGTGCTTATCTCTTTGGAACATCATAAGTCATTTCTGTTTTGTCTGTTTTTAATTACATTTGTTTATTTGTGGGTTGGGCACGTGTGTGCCACAGCTTGGGTGTGGAGATTCACGAACAGCTTGTAGAGTCTCTTCTTCCTAAGAATCAGATGGCTAGAAAAATGCCTTAACTTGCTCAGCCATCTTGCCAAACCACATAAACCATTTTGAAGAGATGTTCATGTCCTAGCTTTGTGACTTTTGGTTTGGCTGGGACATGTTTTTGTTTTTTTGTTTTGTTTTGTTTTGTTTGCTTGTTTGTTTGAGTACTGTGAGGGTGGTTGGGGTAGTCCAGCTGCTAGGGCCCATCTCACAGGGCTCGGTGCAGAGGCATGTTCTTGTATCAATGGACAGCTGAGCAGAGCTAGTTGACCTTTGTCCACTCATGCAGATGTCGTTACTAAGAAGACTGTAAAGACCTGTGCTTTCTGTGGGTATTCTGAAGTAACTTCATCAGACACAATGCCCTCATGTGGGCAGATGCTTAGGAGAGAAATCACAGTTATCGTTCCCTTCTCCTTGAGCCCTCGCCGCAGCAGCAGAGGCCTGTGTGACATGACGGTCCGGGAGCTGATGGGAGGGAGCGGTGCTCTGGGCAGCGGAGCGGAGCCTCATGGCTCTTATGGGCGGCAGAGGTTCAGGGGCATTTCTCCTGGAACTGCAGTTACAGACAGTGGTGAGCTGCCATGGGTACTGAGAATTGAACCCAGGTCCTACTGCAATAGCAGCCAGTGCTCTTAACTGCTGAGCCATCTCTCCAGCCCCCGTTGCTATTTTTTTTTAAAGTAATGTTAACACCATTATTGTGTGTCGGCCACCTATGTTGCTAGAGGATCACTCCTCTTTTAGCTCGGGTACAGTCAGTCTGTTTCAGCGATCCTTTCTCTTTGTTAGTCGGACTTCTCTAGCAACATTTCATGAAGGAAAACACAACATCTCCCATATGTCCATGGACATTGCAAGGGGGCTAATGGTGACCTGTGGGACAGATCGTGTGGTTAAGGTAAGCTGGCCTGTTAGCATCTCCTTTGAGATAGAGCCATCCTCAAGCTGTGAATGGATTTCAGGACATTCCGGAAACCATTGCCATTCGCCTCTGCTTTCTAGAATCAATTGCCTGCCTACTCATAGCCCCAGTGACTGAGCAGATGTCTGTGATTTCCTACACCCTGAGGGGGAGTCACTCTGGGTGTTGTTTGGTCATGATGGTGAGGACCAGGTGCTCTTAGGTCCTGTGGGTTCTGAGCTGGCCGCAAGCTTTCCCCTCCCACCTGGCTTCTGTCTTTGCCCATCCCTGTCTACAGCCTTTCCTGTCTTCTTGGCTCATGTTCCTTTACACCCTCTCCTACTTGTGAGGAATCATCACGTTTTTTAATTAATCTCTAGATCATAAGCAGAACTTGGAAGTAAATGTATTATACTCAGTTGAGTTGTGAAACAAATATTTTATATTCTTAGACATAGTAGACTATTATGACACTATTTTCAGGTTTTAAGATGCTACCTAAAAGAGATTTTTGTTGTTATTGTTTGGGTTTTGTTGTTTTTTGTTGTTGCTGATTTGTTTTCAGTGTAGTTAGTAACCTTCATTGCTTTATCTGTACATAAGTCTGTCAGTGCTGACTCTTGAAATGAGACCCCATGGTAAGTGTGCCTTCTCCGTGTCCCTTCCTTGTAGATATGGGATATGACTCCGGTGGTGGGCTGCAGCCTGGCAACGGGATTCTCTCCACACTGATGCTGAAGCTGAGTGATGTCTGCTCCACCTTGCACACTCACAGTGACCTCCTCAAACAGAACCCTTCATGTAGCTCGACAGCCACTGTCATGTAAATGGACAGTTACCACCTAAAAAACAAATCAATATTTTTAAAAAGAAAAAAATATATATTTAAGTGTGTTTTGGGGTATTTGTGGAAATTATCTGTGGGGAATAACACCTGAAGGGTCGTCCTTAGTGGTCCCCTAAGGAATAGAATTTCCTCAGCACAGCTGCCTCACGAACATCGCACCAGTGGGGAAGGGGAAGTAATCCAGCAAATGAAGGTTTTAGGGGGAAAATTTTAACAAAAAGATTAATGCGTACTTAAACGCAAACCTGTGAGCACACAAGTAGTCTCCTGAGAGGGTCCTTGGAAGCCCCTGAGGGCACTCTGCTGTCCAAGCAGAAGTTGGAGGAAGGGCTTTCTGTCTTCCTTCCGGGGGAGTTGATAGGGTGTAAGAAGCTCCAGCTTCCTCCTTCCAGGCTGGCCATATGTGAGTGTTCTCCACAGTGAGTTGCTGATGAGCCTCTTGAAGGTACCTGTTCCCGTCAGGTCGAGCCATGATCTGCTCTTGGCTGTGGCTCGCTGCAGTTGTTTCTCATGTGTATGTCCTTACAGGTGACATACAACAAGACAGCCCACATTTGTCCTCTCTCCCACACCTGCTCTGTGGACAAAGCTTTTTTATGGTGCTGTTGTACAAGCCTCCTGACATTTTTTTTTTCTTTATAGCTAGTCATGACCCATGGCAAACCCAGCTCCCCCAGCATGGTGGTGATGGACGCCATCAGCCTGGTCCATGGAAAAACCCAGTCCTGCTAACAGATACATTTGTAGTCCCAAGATGAGCCCCAGTGATATGGTAGCAACTTAGGCCCCTCAGAAAAAGTACTCTGAAGCTTTTATGGTATGTTGTACTTGTGACTAGTTGTTGTTCATGTTTCATAGGAAGAAATTGGTGGCCCATTGCCAGAGTTATCAATCAGGTCTTGTACAGTAATCCCTAACTGGTAAACCACTTTCCATGTTTGGAAAAACTGTTGTATGAAATGCATTTTCAAGGTTTTTGACCAGATAACCAGGATGAGAAGCAGAAGTGGGATGGAAGGCCTGCAGTGAATGTTCAGATGTTTATGTATGTTGTGTTAACAGTAGCACATGAACTATTCCAGTGGAACTGCGGGAGACAGCGGAAAAGGGCCTACTTCTTTAAAGGCCAAATAGTGAATGGCCACAGCACCTCTGCGACTCTTGCTAATGTCACTGCTGCTCCGTGCTGGGTTACATCAGGATCAGGGCCGTGTGGCCAGGTAGGGCTAAGGGACTAAATGTGCTTTATTAACATAGCTTACAGGGAGGGAATAGTTTATAAGAGTCTATAAAACTATGATGTCCCAGTGGTTGTGACACAAATGAGGGAAGGAAAGGCAGCCAGGCATACTGGGTTCTAGCTTTGCACCGACAGCTCTTGTCTTCAGAAGTAGGACCAAAGGGTTTGTGTTGCCCCTTTTAGTTTTTATGTTTTGTCAGCTTAACTGGTGATCCTTCACCAGATTCTGCTTACACTCCGGAAGATGTGTGTTGCCGGTGTGCTTTGCACAGGAGACTGAGCGATGCTTTGGAACCACCGTGCCAAGTGTCCTCCTCGGGCTGCGCAGTCCGTGGTTCTGCCCATGGAAAGGGATCCAGGCCTGATGGAGTCCTGCCCTGTGGGATAGTGCTGAGCCCTGTGTGTTTTTGTTTTTCTAAAGACGTCTGTAAAATGTGACTTTTGGACATCTGTGGTAGATTAAACTGAATACTCTATATTTTTCAAGCTTTTTTTTTATTTTTTATTTTGAAAGCCTCTTGTTATAAAACCCTGTGTGGCATAGAGAGCATGAGGTTGGTTTGAGCTTTCTAAGGGGCTAAAAGAAATTAAGGAAAAAATTTGTATTTAAAGACAAATTAGGGCAGGGGACCTTAGGAAGGAGTGCAGACTGTTTGCCAGTGTAGCTCGCCCCGCAGCTGGGCCTGTGATCACGCTGTTCACAAATAGTCATGCCGGTCCCTTCCTGTGTGTTACACGCCAGGTAGCAAATGGGGGTCATTTTTTATAGCGCGTGAAAATTATATCCTCAAGTTTACTGACTGGGCACATGAGGAAGGGACAGGAAGGCTCATGCTTTTTGTCTTATTTGGACTCTGTGGCAAAATGGGTCACTTAATATAGTTCCTCACGGAAGAGCTACCGTCTTTTCCATTCCAGAATTCTCAAGCTAATGTGTACAAACAAGGCTCAAGAAGTGCGGGATGTTAGAGAAGAGTCTTGTACTTAGATAGTATGTAGCGAAGTGATGCCAAGTCTTTATTCTCATCATGGTCTTCAGTGGTCCTGTAGTAGTTGGTCCCAGTGATAGCAGTAGGCCTGTACATTGGTAGAGTCCACTTTCTAGTCACTAGGTCCTAACAGTTTACTCTTAACGTGCTGCCTAGAAGACATCACAAACACTAGCTCCAGAGCCCCTCACTTCGTTCTCCCTCGCCGTGATTCAGTTTGTTAGCATCTGTATTTTTTATTCACCTGTCAGAACTGACCCAGATATACAGTAAATAGGAGAGCAGCTCAGACCCAAGAAGATATATTTGAAAATCAGTGTTTCATTAAAGTACTATTGATACTCCTAAATGATGGGAATCCAGTTACTATTAATGAAAACAATCTGCTCATTATAAATGGGAGGCTTAACAAATACGTAATACATGCTAATTTCTAAAAGTAGCTGATGTTTAATTGTTAATTGTGAGTGGATTTTTGAATGTCTCGTCTATTTTCTGCAGTTTACTATACAATAACTCTTTGAGTAAGTTGAACTTTAATTGTGCAGCAAATTTCTATCAACGAACAATTTAAAGTGTTTTATTCTGTAGTCTTTTTTGACTTGGGAAGCAAAAGGTGACATTAAGTAATTCAACTTGTTCTTGTACAGCTGTGTTTCCATATAATACTGTGCTCTGTGTATCCCAGAGAGGCTGGAAATTTTGTTCTTTTTATTTGTGGGTTTGTTTTTATGAGGCATCTTTTGTTATTTTTTTTCTTTTTTTGGAGAATATGCATATAATAAAATCTCCCTTGCCTGTTATGCTGCTTGCTTCGTGTTTGTTCTGTTTGCTCTGGGCACAGCGCAGGCCGCGTCTGTGTCTGTGTCACGTTCCCTGTGCTCTGGGCAAGTTACCTGCATTGTCGTTAAATTCTAGCTTCACCCCTCAAGTTTATCTTCCGTTTGCATTTTACAGGTGACAAAATGAAGAGTCTGTCCTTCTGTATCTCTGTCTGTCCGTGTGTCTGACTTAAAGGCGGGCACTTTCTCCAGGTACCCCGTCCTACAGTGCTAACATATTGTACCGTTGCAGGGGAGCGTGGGAGGATAGAAATCCCCAGTTAGGGATCCTGGTTCCGGCTCTCCTGTGCCTGCAGCTCAACCTTGTGAGGTTAGATACAGTGAATCAGAGCCAGGAAAACGGAATCCTCAGCTAATGCCGAAAGATGTTGGCCTAACCAGTCAGGCTACTGTGTGTTTCTCAAAACTAGATGTCACCGTCTTTCCTCTCAGCATCAAACCAGTTTTATGGAAGAAAAGGACTTGGGCGTGGCAGCACACACTCCTAATCCCAGTGCTTGGAGGGTTTAGACAGAAGGAGCCTCACCACCCAGAAACTGGAGGCCAGCTAGCTGCGTGAGACCGTCTCAAAGAGCAGACAATAAAATAAGGTTCCACTAAATATATGAAGCACAGTGCTTTTGAGGCAGCCTAATCCTCCCGCTCAGAGAAGGCACCAGTAAGCTTGTATGTCTTTCCAGTGTTTGCGATACATTACCATTTCCCATTGCTGTGCACGTTAGACTGTGTGTTTACTTGACTCTTGCTGCAATTGTGTGTCTCTGGGTCTCTGAGCTTTGCTTCGCAGTAGGAAAGAAGCTTCTCCTTCCTTGTAGGTGAGTAATTCCCTCTCGTGACCATTTCTCCCACAGTAGTCATGGGAGCGCGTGGAGAAAGGCGTGCGGCACTTAGCCATCCACAGAACACTACTGCTCTGGACCTAAGGTGGACACAGCCTGAGTGAGAAATTAACTTCATTATTTGTGTTCACCCAGGTAGAGGTGTGTGTGTGTGTGTGTGTGTGTGTGTGTGTGTGTGGTGTGGTGTGGTGTGGTGTGGGTGTGGTGTGGTGTGGTGTGGGTGTGGTGTGGTGTGGTGTGGTGTGTGTGTGGATTGGGGCGGGGGGAGGTGGATGGGGTATGTGGATTTCAACAGCAGTGTATTCTAGTTTATACAGCAGTGTTCTGTTTTTCCATCATGAAATTATAATTTCTCATTTCTGACAAGCAGCATAAAGCAGAACGAATTGGGACTGGAGAGATGGCTCTGTGGTTCAGAAGCGATTCTGCTCTTACCAGGGCCTGAGTTGGTTCTTTGCACCCACATCAAGCTTCTTACAACAGTCTGTAACTCCAGCTTGAAGGAATCCTGTGCCCTCTTTTGGCCTCCAAGTGCCCCTGCGATCAAACCTGCATACCCGCCTCATCCTCCCCCCCCCCACACATAATTATAAACAAAACAAACACTAAGAAATAAAGAGAAGGAAGAGACCTTTTTGGAGAAGGCAGGATCTACCCTGACTGTGGGTTTCAGGAAATGGATCATGATGGGGCAGGCCTAGCAATAGAAGCTTATGACTCGGCCTGTTACATCTAGGCAATAGACCAGAAGCAGAGAAGTTGGCTGACATTTTTATTTTTTATTTTTAAATGTTCACCATGTTTAGCCATTAGGGAAATACAAATGAAAACTTGGAGATTTCATCTTATGCTAGTCAGAAAACCAAAGGCTAACAAATGCTAGTGTCACTTTGGGAAAGGGGGAACACTTATTTCCTGTGGGTGGTATTGCAAACTGCTGTAGCCAGTACAGAAACCAGTATGAAGGTTCCTCAAAAGTCTAGAAGTAGATCTTAACATGAACCAGATGCCACATAAGCCTGATGGTTTGTGTTGTGATGGTTGTCTTTTTTTTTTTTTTAACAGTGCTAGCAACGGAAGCCCAGAACATGCTAAGCACATGCTCTACCACTGAACTATACCCCAGTCTCTTACTGGATTCTTGAACCAATGCCCGTAAACTTAATGCATGCGTGGTAACAAGTAGTGTACACACACATGCCTCTTCCTCTACATACATGTAATTTCTCAAAGGAGGAGCCAGCCTGTCTGTCCTCTGTGTCCTCTGCCCTGGGACAGAACCTTTTCCCCTTTGCTTTCCTAGGTCTTTTAGATGCCATGCCCTTCGTCACAGAACTAAACATCTCTCTTCCCATCTTTGAGAGTGCTGAATCTGAAGAGAGCCCTGTTGTGCAGTTTTCCTCAAGCTGTTGGAGTCAGAGGGATTAGAGAATCGGAGTGGTTCTCAAGGGGGAAGAAGGCACCCAGTCTGGTAGACTGTGTTTGTTTCTGAATTTACCTGTATGGAAACAGTTCCCTTCCCCTCTTTGTTATGGTGGCGGCGGGGTTTCGTATAGTCCAGACTGTCCTTAAACACTGTCTGTAGCGGAGGCTGACCTTGCACTTGGGATCCTCCCGCCTCCACCTCCTGGGGCTGGGATTGTAGGCTGTGTCGCAGGTGATTTGGGGTTTAGTACTAAGCTCTTCCTGTGCTTTCATGTATTTTCATGTCAGGGTCCTGTAGACTGTCTGATACCTTTTCTCCAGGAGTCCTGCTCAGTCCCCAAGTGACTCCCCAATTGCAAATGAACTG